GACGCTGCATAACGCTAGACATAACTCTAATTTTTATCGGCAAAACAGTGGTTAGCTTTTATATCTATTTGCTCACTTATGATAGACCTATGATCTCTGAGTCTCAATTGAGGTTTGTTAGAAAGCAAGGAAAATGCTTAACCTTTAAAGTTTTTCAAGTTTAATAACTTCCGCGTACGACATAAGATGACCAGATTATATGGTACCTATTTGTGGCAAAAAAATAATGATTAATTAAATAACCACGATAATGGTAAAAAATAAAACAAAAATTAACTGAAGATGCAAAATTAATTGAAAATACTCTGAAGATTATAGGCTGTGTTTTAAACCGCGATACTGTCACGTACACGGGGTTAGCGTGACTAATAATAATGAGTTCTGGATTCGATGATTGGATTTATTGGCATTTCTTTACAATTACAACCAATTATAACAGCTCACATATTGAACTACTCCTGAATTCTCTTACTGATTAATTACGGCTCATGTCTGACGAATGCTCTATAAAGAATCTCTGACTGCCTTGAATGCACGAATGAACTCTCTTTTGTAAATGTCACGCGGCCAGAATAGAAGTCACCATGTCGAATTGTTATTTTCTTCTATTATTCTGTTTGTTGTTACGGGAATCTCGTGTTTAGTAATACCTGGCAAAGACTCGTTCGTTGTTATTCATTGCAGAGGGAAAGTGATTTCCGAGCCGTTGCTCAGCAATTGACGTCCACTATGGTTCCATTATTCCGGCTTTTAGGCAGTGTTTACCGAACCGCTGCCTAGAAACGGATTATTCCGTAATAATACACGTACGTTAAACATTGGTTATAATAATGCCTTAACTTTAACTGTTGGCACATTAGACAGGAGGTTGCTAGTATTGATGCCAGGCAAGTTGGCACGCATGCCTAGTTTTAACATGGATGCTGCAGGATTGTCACTGTACTATGAGGTTAAAATAAGTAATACAACAAACTCAGTGGTCAGATTTACATCCCGGCCGCGAATATCGTGGGGAAAAAATCCAATAACCAGTTGTCAATTAATCATTATGGAGGAGAGCAATTCTCAGCGGTTCTGTCAATAATTTGATGACATCGTAGAGTGTTATTTATAAACTCACAGTCAGCAATGACGATACAACCGCGTCATTATACGGTAAAGAGTAGAACACGAAATTACTGTAATGCTGAATTATACCAACATGGCCGATGGTCATCGAATCGTGAAAATACACTCCAAAATATATCTGAACAACTCTCTTTCATTATAAATCAGATTCAAGGTCCTTTGATACTTCTTTTATTTTATTGCTTTGCTGGGACAACGTAATACAATTTTTTATAACAATTGTGTTCACAGGCTTTTCATCAGAAATGAGCTACCACTGTGTTCAGAGTCTAACTCTTCACAAATGCAAAGCCTCATCTAAGCCGTAGACACGACACAGAACTTAACGGTTCATGACACTTTCTACACTGCATAGAGTCGAGTGGGAGGATGAACATGATTAATGAATTTGAAAGATGTGAATGGAAGCGGTACCGACATATTTTAAGGCGTTGTCATATCAGTGCCTAAAAAGATAAAGTAAATCATGAGAGAACTCGGTTGGGAGAGCCTCTCTCTCCGGGACCTCGGGAACATGAAGCAGGAGCGCTAACGACTCAACTGAAATATATTTTTTTTTTATTGTTAGTGGGGTGGGACTAAGTCCCTTGTACTGCGGCCAATTCTGGCCTATTGTACCAGCCCCATATGAGAGGTGAGTGTGATTGTGGAGCAATTGGTGGAATGAAGATTAGCAGGGGAACCGAAGTACTCGGAAAAAACCTGCCCCAGCGCCATTTTGTCCACCACAAATCCCACCTGACCAGATCCGGGATCGAACTTGGGCCGCCCCGCGGTGGGAAACCAGCGACTAACCGCTTGAGCTATGGCGCGGCCTCTAACTGCAGTATTTAGTAACGAGATAGAAATATTTCCTCTTTGTCACGAATTAAACGGCTTGCGAAATGCGCATTGGACAAGTCATACAAATTAAATTTGTTTCAAGGAAACTCACTTAATTAACGAAGTCTCTATCGAAAATTATGAATTTTACTAAACGTAATACAGTTCTGTGACACAGGACAGTATTTAATTATTCCATTCCTCGAAGAAAACTCCCTTATTATGAAATCTGAACGTACTTCACCGCCATCATAAAAGTCTGCAATATTATCAAGTTAAAAAAGCCACAGTGCAAAACAGATACGAAACATAATGTGTGTGTGTATATATATATATATATATTCTCCTCTCGCTCCCACTGTTGAGCATAGGGCTGATTTGTCAGTTTCATGACCATTTTTACAGAGGGTGGTACTCCTTGGACGGGTGTCAGCTCGTGGCAAAGCCTCTACCTTAACACAGGATAACATAAACACAGAATAAACTCTTATACACACCAAACATCGATGCCTTGTGCGGGATTCGAACCCACCATCCCGGCTTCCGACCGAGCGAAGACGGTACATGCCTTAGCCCGTTCGGCTACCGTGACCGGCATATATACATATATACGAGTAAAATGTACGCTAGATATTCCATCTCTGTTCACCTTTCCACTTTCATTAAGGTTATCTCAAATATTTGAACAATTCAAGGTTTTTATGACGTTTAACGACACAGGTCTGTTTACACCTTTCGCCCGGCCAACACAGGCTTCAAACCTTGGGAAACACGCAAGTGCTCGTACAATTATTTTCTTGAAGAAGGACCTTGAGGAACGCAGTTACTTTTAATAGAATGCACTCTAATATTGCTTACTCTTGTTGCTTTCATCTCTGTCCACTCTACAGAACATTTCGAAGTTTTGAAACCATAGCTCCTGGGATACAACGCCGTTCATTCCGTTTCGGAGGAACATATTGCTTCCATCTCCAGGGTTGAAAAATAGGCCAAGCGATAAATTAACATGAAAAAGAGGCATCAAGCAGAGCTCTGCTTGTTACCGGCTTCAGGCTGGTTTCTTGCAGAGCAATAAAATTATTATACCAGTAACTACGACTGTTGATGAAAATGTGGAAAAGGATCCTTGGACGTAAGGCTGTACACGCTATCAGCTGACTTCTATGTTTCTCTTCCATTCTGTCTATAATTGTAAAACAACAAAATATTTTAGGTTTTTTCCATGTCTCTACAAGGGTACACCTAATGTCAAAACACGACGGCGACAGGCCGACATATCTGTCCTTGACAGCGAGATATTCTGGTGGAACATTCATTTTATATAAACATCTACATCCTTTGTTTTGTCTTCCTTCCCCCGCAACAGAGTTTGCTTGTTTTCTTCAGGCCAAGGTAACATTTCACGTAATTGAAGATTGTAACAGAATCCGTAATTAGACGGGCGGTGGATATGATTCTCGTACACGTGGCCTACTAGCAGATGGCCTGTCCTAATTGTGCTCACTGTGCCGTACATTCACTTTCAAATGCTGTGTTATGCGGGTTTCAAGGTAACAATCTGCACTGTGATGTTTCCCTGAACCACGATTTCAATTTCTGTGAGAATAGAATTACTTACAATTATGAATAATTCCATCCAGTACTTTAAAAGCGCATGCGCCACTTGATATCGCCCCTCAGCTTCTAATTCACAAAACTTTTCTCACTATGGTATCTTCTACAGTTTCAATTAACGTTACACGGACATTTGTTTCCTTAAATTTATTGAAAATCTGCTTCGTTTGCTTGTTTTCTTTTGTATCGAATAACACTGTTAGTAACTCAAATTACAAAATGTTGAACGACTGGATGATAGTGAATACTTAATCTGTGGAAGGAAAGTTTCTTGGTGCATTTCAAAGTACTCTCCCGACATTCCTTTTAGGGACTGAGGCAAACTACGACAAAACTATTATTATTATTATTATTAGAGGGGGTGGGTTTCCCAATGCACCGCGACTAATAGTCTACTGTACGACCCCCTTTGATATTCTACCAGTCGCCATACCCTACCGGTACTGGTGCGTACTATCAGCACCGTTCAGCCAACGAAGTCGGCCCTCGGTACCTGATACTTCCCCCATCTACCAGAGGCATTGGAAACTACTTGGGCGGGAAACTTTTTGCCTAATTTAGCTCAGGGGTCTCCTAGAGACATGATGACACGGGACCCACGGCTTAAAGTCCCTCCCGGAGGACTTGTTCCCTGAATTTTTCCGCCCTTAAAAATTCCACGTCCTCCGCCGGGTTTGAACCCACGTACCTTGAGTCATGAGGTGGGAACGTTACCCCTAGACTACGGAGGCCGCTACGACAAATCTAAGAAAGGATAGTAGTTGTTCCAATTGAGATTTGAACTGAGAACCACAAGTCATAAATGTTATCGCTTGAACCAATTAGCTCGGTGATTTGATTAGCTTCCTTGTATTTGGACAAAGAGGGTGTCCTCTCCAGAGACAAAAGGCAACAGAGAAAACCCCATTAATAATGTTATATTTTAGCGTCCTGTTGCGCTGATTTATGTCCATGATTTATTCTGACCGTCTTACAGTGCATACATTTATTCACCTTACTCTTCTCTCTTGCACTACATGTTTCAGCACTAAAGTGCCATCTTCAGGTGCTTTTCGATGTACGTCGAACTACTTCATTGCATGCCCTGTTGTCTTTATACTAAAATATATATTCGTCATATATATTGATAAATTTTAAATATTAAAACTGTTCAGGAGAACATGGAGAAAACCCCAGTTTATGCCTCGTGCAGGTATGGTCATTTGTCCGCTTATTGCTATATTATGCAATGTTAGACCATGTGACGTGCTGATCCCACATCAGTGGGGTGACTGAATATTCTCTGTGTCGGAACTATTTCGTATGCGAATCAATCGACAGGATCAAGTTCGTAAAGGTGGTAGCAATCTGGAACGTCTTCAAATGACCTAACGGCCAGCCAAATTTTATACAGAACCACGATCAGTATAGTTAATGTTCGCCCTTCATTTTACCAGGGTTGCTGATGCTGGCGACACTTGCCGAGGGCCTCAAGGGAACTGCACTGGTAATCAGTAAGTTGAAGCAGAAGCCCATAGAAACGACGGCAGCGGCTCAGAGCAGGAGTGCAGAAGAAGAGGTAAGAAAATGTTCTGTCGCAGGACGAAATGTAACAGAGGCTGGTTCCCTGTCTCTAAAAACACAGCAAACAAGGTCCACTCTGAAGAATGCCGTCTTTTAGGATGTCGTGCCGTGTAAATCTTGTGTGATCCGATGTTTCGGAGGAACGTATCACCTCCATCTTCAGGAAAGAAAAATCCGCGAGCGAGGAACCAGCGTGAGCAGGTGGTTACAGCCACCTCTATCTATCTATCTATGTATCCATCCATCCATCCCTGTTTCTCCCATTTGGAGCACAGGGCATCCGTGAAACGCTTAGTTTCACTTTAGTTTCTTAATCTTAGACAGTCGGTAAGACTCACTGGATCGGAGATCAACACGTCGCAAGGCCGCTACCTACAGACACAGAATAAACGCAAACATCTATGCCTTGAGTGGGATTCGAACCCACGATCCCAGTGTCAGAGTGAGCGAAGACATTAAATGCCTTAGCGCGGCCACTGTGATCGTCAATCATATGTATAAATACTATAAATAGGATTTATCAGATATTTCAAAGTACTTAAAAAGTACAGAGCCTGCGTAAAAAGACGCGTGGTCCTTAAGCAAATTAGCATTCTAACGAATAAAATTAAAATGACCCAGCGTAATTTAACATCGGTTTATAATACCACATTTCAACAAAATCGGTCCCATAGTTTGGGCGCTGTTACCTGCGAGGGCATCACGAGATGCGTCGTTTTTTTTTCATCAACAATATTATTAAAGGCGCTTTAAAGCGGCATTAGCAGCAGCAAACCAATGGAGTCGTGGTATCGAAATATATGAATGACGTGCGCATGAATTCTAAATAATAGGCGATAAATCTGACAATCCCTACATGTGTACAAAACATAATCACTCTTTACAAATAAATTTCTTTGCAGGCTGCTGGCTCCAGTCCGGAGAATGCTCGCGACTCCGTGCCGCTATCTGCAGGTGGCGAAGTCAACGTCACTACCACCAAGTCTCCGCTCACGGGGATTCCACAGATCGACTATGTGCACGACCCCAACCTGCCGAGAGAACTGAACGGTTATAACCTAACGGATTATCCCTTCTACGACCGTGTTCCTGATGAGATTGATTTCAAGTGTGATGGGCTCCACGACGGTTTCTACGCCAGCATCCCGCACAAGTGCCAGGTAACGCGGCGCAAAACCCGTAGTCTTTCCAGAGAACACAATAATGTAAATAATAAAAATCTCTTGTAAGGTAAACCTGAACTAATATGGGGAATGACGGAAAGGGAACAAATGACATAATTTCATCATTTAACTTATTTTTCGTTATATTTTTCGTCAAAACATCAGGTTGCATGTTGAAGACACGACTTCCAAATATAAAGGATAGCTCTAACAAGGTTCTTTTGAATAACCCGTCGCAGAGGGCTAACAAAAGGTGGTCCTCCATGTTGGAGGCTGGGTGATATAATCCACATGTGCCTGCACATACACTTGCAGCAAAATGTCTCCGAGCTTCGCTGACCGTTACAAATTCAAACATGGGCTGGCCAGCCAGCTGTGGCATGAGAAGAGAGGGGAGGACTGCGAAACGAGAGTGTTTATAGAGAGAACTCAATCCCCACTCCACAACCTGCGACGTAGCTCAGGCTCGGAGATATTCTACGTCATATATAACTTGGCGGGTCATTTATTTCACGAATAAAATTCCATGCTATAGACAGTTTCAAGAGAGCTTCCTTACACTGACTGATGCTTATTAGTTCACAGTGGCCATGTGCCAATTTTTCGCCACTGCTCATCCAAGGCGACCTGTCAAATTATTTGCTGGCAACTTACAGTGCGTAGCGGAACGTTACGCAGGGTCTCGGAATTGGAGAAGTTCTTCGCAAACGTGGATAGAATACCTGACGGGAAGACTTTTAAGGCCTAAGAGTAGATGAGAGTATATGAAACTATTACAATGGATCTCCAGTAATATATCAGAGAGTGAACTGAATTCACTTGTCTCAGGACAATGTTCAGTGGCAGGCTCTTGTACGCGGTAATAAACCTTTTGGTTTTCATTAAAGGTAGGGAGGCCAACTCTTGCTCCACACATATAGGAGTGGCATAGTGGAACAAGCAAATTTTCGTTATAAATAAGCAAGCAAAATAAAATAACGAATCGCATTGAATATGAAAATAATTTAAATTGCTTTTGAATCCTTTGAGTCGTCTACATAACCAGCAAATGAGCAGCGATGGACCTCCTACGCGAAAAGTCCCTCGTTATTGTAAGGAGTACCAGTCTCGTATAAGTTTTCTCTTTATCCAGATATTTTTTTCAGTACCCAATCTCAGTAGTCTGTTTCTATGTTCCCTGTTATTGCACTGAATAAAGATGCATTTATATTTGAAATACTGACCTTGTTCTGTGGGAATCCTTTGTACTTCAATTGTGATTCAAAATTTGATTAGCGCCACCTCTGGCTACGGCTCTCTCCCCTTGATAAAAGGAAATGTTTGCCTTTCTAACGTAAGTTCTTGCTGCGACCCCGAACCTGAAAGTGAATGTTAGGACGGCGTCAAGATTTGTCGCAATCGTATTTGGAGCAGGTTTTCAGCACGCGCCAGTGCTTCCTGACACTCAGGTAGCACTCAACTTAAAAGCTGAGCGTGATCATAATCGTCATCATCATCAAAACAAAAACAAAACAAACTCCGTGGTTTTAGTCCGCAAGCGAACTATACCGACCGAGCGACCGCCGCTTGTCGGCGAAGTTAGTGCCAACTTTAGCGGATAGAGGGTGTCGCGTGGTCAGGGTAACGAATCCCCACGGTCGTTAATTTCGGGTTTCTAAACCGGAGTCGCTTTCCTTCAAATAGCTCCTCAATTATCCTCACGAGGCTGAGTGGACCCCGTTCCAGACCCACTATTTCTCAGAAAATCTGTTAGCGCCGGGATTAGAACCAGGAACTCTGGAACTGCAGCCAGGAATTCTGACCACAGAAGCGGTCTCACCATCTTCAACTACATTATCTGGATCTACTTGTCAGCTGAGGATCCTACACCGGCCTCCAAGTCTCCCAAGGCTTTTATTTCTTCATGGGTGTCATGCCAAACCCGCTAAGCTATTCTATAGTCTTACATTCTTTGTTTATGCTACAAATATTTATCTCTATAATTTTCTATGTTTGTATTTAGGCTGCAATTTAATTTCGCACTTTTCTCCATAATTCTCAGATCAGTTGTCACGACCACCTAGACTTCTATCCAATGAGTATCGGGGGTTAGTTCCTCGGGGGTAACGCGACCTAAGCGTGAAGCTAATCACTCATCTCTTCCCAGTACTAAATTTAATAATGCGTGTAGTCATACCTCCACCCTCACATGTCTTCGAGGTGTGTTATATAATTAAGTACAGGGTCAACATTTTCTCCACGCCTCTCCGTCTTGCATTGGTGACCTGTACAAGACAGTTCAAGATAGCTATCACCTCTGGGGAGAACAGGACCGGCCTATAAGACTCTCAAGAAGGACCTAGAGCAGAAATTCGTGAAGAGAGCAGCTTGAGTATTCGACGGGTTGCGGAAGATGAGAAACTCGACGCTGTGGAGGTATCAGCGCCCTCCGGAGCGACAAAACAAGGATTGCACTTTTTGGAGGGGTCGACCCCTTCCAAACGAAAAAAGAAGCAGGAAACAGAGGAGGAACTGGTAATGTAGAAGCACCGTCCTCCACAGCAATAGTGAGAATGAGAGAACGAGAGAAAGATGATGAGAATATGGAGTGACTGGAAGTACCACGGGGCTGCTCGGGACGAGCACTCTTGAAGGAGGGGGCGGATGAAAGTAAGGGAAGTGCTGTTAGGCTGTTCGGGATGAACAACTTTAAGAAGGGAGCAATGTGACGTGCTGCATGAAAGCCGGATTATAAGACGTCCATCAATAGTCAACGGCTAGCAATTCCTAGGCAGCGAAGCCTAGGAAATCGTTGCCCCGGAAATGAAATTATAACAGTGGGGTTTCCACCATTACAAACGAAATACTTGAGACAGACACGTATTCCCGCTTTCGTTGAGTAGCAGTGGGTGAAATTAACCCTTCGACAAGGTATTTCCTATTCAGTCCGAATGCAAGTTATAACAGTTTAACGTCGGCAAGAGACTAGCAGAATTTGTATTCGACTTTAGCAGGAGAGAGTTCTTATCCGACTAAAACAGAAGAGCTGTATTCGATTAAAGCACAAGTGAGTTCGTATCTGACAAGGGACCAAGGACAGTTGAGCTCCGAGCAGAGCAGAAGACACTTCAACAAGATTAGCGGTGTAAATAATTGTAATAGTGAAGAAGAAACGTCTAAAGGGCGTTATAAGTGGAATAATTACACTTGTGAGTGAAAAAGTGACTGCCCAATAAAATATTCGTTCAAATCCGAGAACCCGCACAAATTTCTTGTCGCGTTGCCTAGCAAACACGCGACAGTACAAATTATGGACCTCCTAGCCAAGAAACGTTCTCTCTTCCACATTGCTCATATCTCTTAAGCAGAATCTATACCAAAGTTATACAACATGCGGCAGGACAAATGTTGAAGTCAGGCAATGCTTATGTATCAGTCAGGTTGCTGACGTGTCTCTTTGGACTAGATAATTGTTTCTCAAACTGAGGTCCGTGGCGGTGCAGAGGTAGGTGCGTAGGCAATTTTAAGGGAAGAAGCAACGAAGGAATTTAATTACGTATAAATGGCAAATTTAAAATGTAAGGTTAATAATGAAAGTCAGAAATCCATGCAAATAAGTTCTTAACAATAGGCTCTATCTTTTGGACCAAACTGAGTAAGTTTTACCTGAAGATGGAGACACAATCCAGTCTCCGAAACGTTTTGATAAATAAACAGGGCGGTTTTTAGATAAAGACAAGGCGATGGATAATGTCCAAAGACATGACATTTGTCATAAAATGGTAGAATAAATAAAAATTTACATCACAAGTAACCACGAACGTAAGAAATATATGTACGAAATAAGAGTCAAGTTTCTTATACAACGAATCATAATAGACGCATACACAACAGATGTTTGAAAACTGTGCATAGCCATCTTGGAAAATTTTCCGAGATATTGTAATATTGATAAAAGTTCACTAAAACGACAAAAGGCAGAGGTACTATTTTAAGCATCTGTGTTTGTTGGCAATTATCCTTCAAGTTGTATTTAAAGTATCTCTGACAGTGCGTCATCAGAAAGTGAAAGAGATCGTTATGTCATCGATAGATCGCTGATGGGTACGAAAATCGCACATAGCAGAAATCTCGTTCAACACAGAGGATATGTCTTTTATAAGGTTTTCTACTCAAAATATGACGTACTTTCAGATGTTTTAAGCACGTAATACGGAAAAATCGAGCAGTAGTTTAGGGTCAAACCTGTCTCTGAAGTTAAGTGTTACCGCACCGTATAGGTCCCAACACTGTGTCGGTCAAGTGAGCCTTTGAGTTGTGCTAGAAAGTGGCAGTACTAGAAACTTGGCAATGTAGCAGAAGCCACTGTTATGAGAAACAGTGCAGCAAGTATATTCCACACAGCGTTGTCTACCAATTGTAAGAAACGCCAACAATAAGCAACTAAAAATTAAATTCGGGAAATAATTGTTTATTGTTCAATTTGGAATCATTCTTCTTCCGATGTCTTCGCAGAAAAATCAAATAAAAATATTAAAAAAAAAATACAGATTTTCTCTAATTTTATGTGAGGTTCTACAAAATTCCTGTTTTGTTGCTATGAATATTTACAACATTTATAATATTTAAGAAATAATTGGAATACACGAATATTGAATAGGCCCACGTGAAAGAAATCTAATTACGATGGATGCAACAAGAGGGAATGGAGAAAACTTCATAACGCTAAGCTTCATACTTCCTGCTCATAATCCAATATCCCATCCGATCATAGAGGCCGCGTGGTATAATTAATATTAATAATAATTAATAAATATTTTCGCTCGTTCGAACACTGGGATCGTCGTTTCGAATCCCACTAGAGGCACAGATGTATGTCCCCTTTTTTCCGTATTTGTGTCGTCCAATGTAGGTAGCGTCCTTGCGACGGGCCGATCCCTCCTACCAAGTGTCTGTAAGGTTCACAGTTTCAGAGAATTTCTGAATGGGAACAGGTAAGAGGGCCTACTCCATGAAAAAGAATAATCTGGAATCATAAGAGAAATGAAAAACAATGAGATGAATACGACATAGAGCAGGCACGGGTGAAAAACACGCTTTACTGAAGGGAAGGCATTCTATTTATACAGAGAAAGTCGAGTGAAAGAAAGAACTGCCCCGAACGTATGGTGAATGGCGGACACGAAAGGAGGGGTGGAAAACCAATTAACGTGAACTGCTACGTTTCTTTATAAACTGAATCGGCTCTACGTTCCTCTATAATCAAAACTCTACTTTCAATACAACTGTCAGCCAAAAACCACTCAATTGTGCACTTTTTTTTTAACAAAATAGGGTGTATATGAAGTAAACGCAGCGATAATTCATGTCCCAGCCACCTCTTTTCATGCTAGTATCTTGCTCGGCTTATTCAGCCCTGAAGATGGAGGCGATATGTTCCTCCGAAACGTTTTTAACTTTCAACGGATTACATGGCGTTATGTGCCGGAATATAATACTCTTCATAACTATCGCTGAGATCCTATATGTTTAATAGCTTTCAGAACCGCTTAACTGAATTTTATTAGGGGTTTACATCAATATCAGCTAATTTAGACCCGATCCTTATCAATAAACAGTAACACCTATTTCACACAAACTCACTTAAGAATTGCTTACAGTACGTAACAGAACTTTTACATATACCAGCAAGCTATGTACCTAAACATATATATATATATTATTGTGACTCTTCGCAGTGTTATATCTAATACACACGTACAAACGAAAATATCTAAGAACTGATCGACAAATATTCCCAAGATTCGTGCAAGTGAATTAACTTCTCTGCATCAACCTTTTGGGGACGCAAAATTTCAAAGAACAAACTATTTTAAAACACTGTGTACTCTATTTCCGACCGCCTCTTTGGTCTAGTGGTCAGAGTTACTGGCTATAGATCCCGAGGTCCGGGTTCGATTCCCGGCGCTACCAGATTTTCTGAGAAGTAGTGGGTCTGCAACGGGGTCCACTTAGCTTCGTGAGGATAATTGAGGAGCTATTTCAAGGAAATAACGGTTCCGGTCTAGAAAACCGAAATTAACCGCAGTGGGGACTCATTGCGTTGACCATGCGACACCCTCTATCCGCTGAAGTTGACACTAACTTCGCCGACAACCGGTTGTGGCTCGGTCGGTATAGTTCGCTTGCGGACTAAAACCACGGAGTTTGTTGTAGTTGTTTGTGTACTCTATTTGCATTACCAGAAGGGGCAGGCGTTGATCCACACCTCTTTCCATCTCCATAGACGGTCTAAATCCCTGTTTAGGAGACCATCTCAGAAATAGAACGCTTTATGCAAGATTTGAGGCTTTCACGGCGGTGACTATGAAGAAAGCAGTCTTCTGGGATTTGGCACCGTGTATATGTGGTGTTAACCGACGTTTCGGAGGAACTGGACTGCAGTCTGCTTTTACCGGTTCTCACGGTCTCTTCGCTTGCGGATTTCTTATATTTTTCCTTCTATCTTGAGGATGGAGGCGATACGTTCCTCCGTAACGTCGGTTAACACCACATATACACGGTGCCAAATCCCAGAAGACTGCTTTCTTCAGAACGCTTTATGTTTGACAGGTGTACCATCACTGCCTGTTTGGAACCAGGTACGACTTTTTGTGCGCCAACTACACGGCTTTCGACCAGAAGACGTTCATTTGCCACTTCGTTTCGGAAGTCGACTGCGCCAACTCGCCGAAGTACTTCAAACGGTAAGGTATATTAACTCTTTGCGCTGGACGCCAGGGATATCTTCAGTTAGTATAATGGCTGACTATATGTCGATTGGGGGCAGAAGTAGCGATTCCTCGCAACAACGTTCCTAACCTACCGTCCGACTCGGCTGTGTTGGAAATACCTCTTCTCGTAACATAGTACAAGACTGACTCTGCATGACCAAAGACATAACCAAAACACTATGCTGAAGTTGGAATTAAATTATAAATTCTATCACAGATTCACAAGCCCTATTAAAATTCTGAGATGATATGTCACTGTTATTCGACAGATTTCATAGATTAAATCCACTGTCAAAATCTGTTATCAGAAAAAAAAAAACGTAATTTTCAAAATCTACAACATGAGCAAGTCAGACGAAGAAAATTATGTAATTAACAAAGAAATGAAAATATCATAGAGTGAAAAGGTGAAAACAATAATGAAGTTTCTAGATGGTTCTAACGATGGGGTATAACACACAGAATTACTGGGTTTTTGGACTTTGTCTATCGACCGGTGGAATACCGGACGATAGACAAAGTCCAAAAACCAAGTAATTCCGAATAACAAAGATACCCTGCAAAAGGAAAAAAAAATTATGAGCGATGCTGCCGAAATTTGTATCAGTTTCTAGAAGATGAAAGCTATGTTTTATCTGATGTTCAAACTGATGAAGCTGAAGATTCATGATACTGCATAGTGAGCCACATCGCGCCAAAACCTGGCAAAATTAATTTCCATCTACTATGACGTCCTTGCTAACATGCAATACTGACGAAATCGCAAAAGATCCTTAGAGAGACGCCGTTTTGTTACCATCATTAGCTGTTCAGCACCCGCCAGGCTTTACTTGGCCAATCAGCACGCTTATCTCATTTCTATATTTTCGTATGAACAAGTCCTTATTCGTTTTTACTTCTTTTGCAGTCGTCATCACCACGAGCTTGTCTCTTTTAATGTCAAGGCGAAATGTAAATGCAAGAAGCGCTCAACAGAAACTTGATCTAGGCATGTAACGTGGATAAACCGAAACTCAGGAGTTGTTATATGCACTAGTCTCTTCACGACATAATCAGCGTTATTCATTTTCTTTGGAGATGCGCTGAAAACGTAGCTCACTTGAGTCAATGAAGCAGACATACTGGCACTGTATACTTTTCCATCAGTTTTCAATAACACGTCATGTACAATGAGGTGCTCTTGTCCAATCACGACAACTTGAGTGGGAAGCAAGAGCAAAAGCTATCACTTTAACAGGCCGTGCATGCCCATAGGGTTGTGAGGCGTCGAGGTTCCCACATTTTCAAACAGTCGGCTCACATATGGCGGTGACGTCAGCAATACGCACTCGGGAGCCCTTTTACCCCCAGGAGGATTCCTGGTACTCATTTCTGTTAGAGGCTGAGTTGACCCAAGGGCCACAGTGAGGCTGGAAGAATTACGTCAATGACATCATTGGGAACCGAACCCGCGACCTCCCGGCTTGTAGCATAGTGCCTCAACCAACTACGCTGCCGCGTGCCCCCGGGAAGCGAGAGTTTCATTTTATTTTCAATCTGCTAGTTTATTTCCCAAATCGATTCATCCGTTTCTTTGCTAAACCACAGGCGCATGGGTCTGCATCAACAAGTAGATGGACAGGCGTTCTGCCACAATGCTATTCTTTCTTCCGTTAATGGTGATGCACAAGTTTGGACCGGAACTTCTAAAGTTAGGAACAAACTGCTATCACTGTACACTCCAAGATACTTCTGCTTGTATTCATTGTCTCCAGCCCTCCCATAGAATGCTCATTTAGACACTAAGACTATCTTCTGACTGCTTCTGTCAGCAGCACTTACAAAAAAGATTTTATGTTCTTGAAACGTACGTTGACGCTGATCATTCTGAGCCCTTATTTATTTGGATGATTATAGATGAACGTGAAATTTATTTCTAATTAATTCTCGGTAATTTAAATTTCAAAAGTCTTATGTTTCGATATTACTGGAAATGTATCGTGATCTATAATATCGTATTTCATCGTCTGGGACGTGCAATACGGTGTTTATGTTGAAAATTTCTAGATTCTGGCAGAAACAAGAAGTCCGGAGTTATGACATTTACGATCAGTCATAAATTTAGCTCGGGTACAGGGAACCGGACGCGCTAAAAAGGACAGGTCAGAGCTTGTTACAATTGCCTGTGAATGAGGGCCAGTATGATCGGGTTGCATCGTTCAAACTTCCTACGGAAGATGGGATGAAAATGTATGTCAACACCATCTTTCGAATTCCCGGCNTAAACGTCAATTGGCTCAACTCTCAGAAAAACGCTTTCTTCGGCATCGCTACCCTGAGACACATGCAAACCGACCCAGCTAGTTTCCCGTACCTATACCGATCTTCCTTAGTTTGATCTGTGAGGACAACTTCCAGTAGCCATCATACACTGTCCTAAGGTAGAAACAGGTGTAGCAGGGATAGCACCATTCCTACTGCGCCGATACAAGCAAAGGCGGGTTGGAAAAGAGCGGTGTTAACGTGAAACCGTGTGGTAAAGAAGAGCGAGCCTTATTTCAGGGAGAGAACCAGTAACTGTGAAAGATTTTTGTCAGGATAACAGCGTTGTCGCGGCTATTGTATTATTTTAAGTGGGATAGATGTGAAAGAGTTCTTTCGCTTCGTATTCTTCCTCATGTACTCATATTCGTGCTTACAGAGTTCATATTGGAACATTAGCGAACAAGGATGGACTTCGTCATTTGAAAAATGTTATGTTTACGTTTTTCTTTTCTTTAAACTTTCCACGTATATTTCATTTTCAAGGCCCGAGTAGGACCTGTAATCGCTGCGGTACATCCTGCTATCCGGCTAAGCGCAAGCCCATTTCAGCTGCGTAGATTAAGTGAGGAGAATACAACGTCTCCCGATGCGCTTCCGTTTTCATCAGTTTACGACTCAAACAACAAAACAAAATCCACGGCCTTGTAGTCCGCAAGCGAACTATACCGACCGAGCGACCGCCGCTTGTCGGCGAAGTTAGTTCCAACTTTTGCGGATAGAGGGTGTCACGTGGTCAGTGCAACAGATCCCCACGGCCGATAATCTCGGTTTTCTAGACCGGAACCTCTATTTCCTTGAAACAGTTCCTCAATTATCCTCACGAGGCTGAGTGGATCCCGTTCCAGACCCACTGCTTCTCAGAAAATCTGGTCTTCAGTTTACGCCTCTCGCTGCTAAATTCAAACGGTGTTTCTGGGCCGCGTAATACTGAAAGTTTATCAAATGCAGGAACCTTCAAGAGCAGGGACAGATTTTTGGAGTAACCATTCAGAAAGCTCAACGAAATACTTTTTGCTTTTATCGCACTTGCAAAAATCTTATTACAGTAATTATACAGTGTCTCTGTATTCTTCATAGGTATTGAGGTATATTTCGGCCGCCGTTGATGTCAGAAAAACAATTCAATACATGTTGGACTTTGCACTGCGATTTCCATGACACTGCTGTCGTAAGGAGAGCGCTAATATTATTAAAGGGCTTATTTACCCTTACTATTTGAGATGTGGCATAATTTTATAATTCGAATGGTATTGACAGAAGGGGCTCACGGACTAAGAGACTGACCGGAAATAACTCTCTACGTGAACTCTCAACGGAGCTCCACTCCTACAGCAGCAGACAAGCAAAGGTTTTTCTGAATATGCCAAAACTGCTTCAAATGGATTACATATAATTACAACTCAAATCCTACACAACTGCACCTTATTTTCTGACTTTTGGCCACGTTCTGATGCTTTCTGGCCCACTATGCCCTGGACTATAGGTGATCGTTCGAAAACCTAGTTTAAAGTATAGTAAGCATGAATAACATGAAAACATGATAATTATTTACTGCTTCTGACATAATTTCACATTACAAACATCACATCTTTCAAAAGCAAATTATGTACTTGTATTCGTATATACTAAATACAAATGTAAAGTTGTAAAATTCTCTTCCCTGCCAGGAATCGAACTCTGGTCGTCCATAGACAGTCGTCATACTGACTGAGCAGTACAAGAGAAGTACAAGATTATGTTTTCATAACTTTTGTGCTCTTAATGTTATTGTAGACATGCCACTTTCCCTAAGAGAGAGTAGGCACAGTGCAATGCATGACATGAGTCTGTGACGGAACTCCCGTTGCTTTTGTTTGTAAAGGAACGAGGCGCTTTACAAGCAGGCTACGACAACGGTAGCAACCACCACGAAGGCGGCTACGCAGCCTCCCCTTCCTGCACGCCGTCCTCAGCCAGCACCGAGACCCGGTAGGCGGCGTCCCTACAGACCCCGCCGTCCCGAGTACGACTATTACTACGACGATGACTACGAGGATGACCCTGAGTACTACGATGATGAGCTGCCGGTACACCTTACATTCTCATAAGCTCGCAGTTTTATTAGTGCTCACAACTCTCGTAACACTCTGAAGTAGAAAACTTCCAGGAAAAGTGTTATTTCTAAATATTATATCGCGACACATTCTATGTGTTGCTTTACTAATAATAAAATATGCTATATAACAGGGCATATGAATCTCAATCCACTATTCGCTGAGTCTTTAGTCTTCATAACCTGCATCCACAGAAGTGGGAGTTTGCCTTTCTCCATGCATTTGAACAATATAGTCATTCAATTCGCCTTTTTTGTTTTTACTTTCTGCAACAGGCTCATAGAAGCACGACTGCAGCGCTGCCATCGTCGCATGTTGGCAACGGTCGCCGCAGGAAACACCGTCGTCCCCAGAGACCTTTAGAGGACGACCAACGCCGTCCTGTGTCAGCTCCATCGGCATCTCTTGACCATGAGGACGCGCAACCAGAGGCAGACCTTAAGCCACGACCCTCTGCTTCAGTGTACGACAGACCCCGCGTTCCGCCAAAAATTAGGCGCCCAGTGCCCTTAAACGAACGAGACAAATATGATTACACAACACGAAAGTCACCTGCAAGTGGAGCATCAGCTCCTGAGGAACCTGTCGAGGACACTTATTCCAGACCCAAACACCAGGTTCGTCCAACGGTCCATCGGGAAGATGATTATTATGACGACGAGGAATATGTACCTCCAGCAAGGAATCCTGTAAGCAGTTCCAGAGTAAAGAACTCTGACCCTTACCATCAAACTGCATCAGATGACAGGGATATAGTCAGAAGACCAACAATGACAGGTGCTGGGCGCCCTCTAAGACGCAATCGACCTGGAGGATCTGCAAGGAGGCGCCCTGCAGAGACTACTCAGTATGCTCCCTTACCTCTTGAAGGTGAAGAGGATGACTATGATACATCATACGATGAAGAACCCAGGAGACCTGTACGACCAGCTAATGGAAGAAGGAAACGGCCACCGCAGGGTTCTGGGAGGCAGGAAGACTACTACAGACCCACAACACAATCCACACGACATGATCCTGATTATTCACAACAACCAAGGGGTGGGCAATCTCCTAGATATAGGGATGAGGAAGACGACGAGCCTGTACCGGCACCCAGACCTGCTTACATTAGTACAGCCCCAGGGGGTAGCAGCACAAGACAAATGCACAGGAAGAGAGTTCAACAACCAGAAGCCACTGCTGATGAATACATACATTCCAGATCACAGGCTTCAGAATCAACGGCCTTTAGAAGACCAGGTGGACAACGCAAACACGCCACACCAGCTAGACAACCTGAAACACACTCTGAAGAACCACCAGAAGAAACAGATTATTATGATGATGAGGAGTTGCCTGAAGAAAATTACAGAAACAGGCAGTCACAGTCACACAGAGGTACTCAGGTGGCAGCAGGACCCTTACAACAAACAGTTACTGCACTTCCACCTCCACCAACCACAAAAGCGAGTGCTGAAGTTGAAGAAGATGATATAATCTCACCACCGCAACGATCTGGAAATGGTAGGAGGCCGTTCTTACCAAGTAGAGGAGGAAATCCAATATTGCCACGTGGTTTACAACCAGTTGGTGTAAAAGCTCCCCAGCAGACTCCTAAACCTGGAACCTCAAACGATGACAGCACACAAGATAAGCAAAGCAGAATTCCACAGCCCTTAACAGCTTCAAAATATCATCCCAACATAGAGGAGGATGATTATGAGGAAGATCCTCCAGAACAACGAACTGTGACAAGTACAGGAAATTCACCAGACATTTCCGATGCTCTGACATCAAGACCAATCTCTCAAAGCAACTACAAATCTGCAGGTAAAAGAGATTCTCAGAGTGACTCTATTCAAGAGGAAATTCCCAGAAGGGTACAGTCAGGTAACACTGAATACCGAAGCAAACTGATTGAAGATACCCAACCTAGGATTTCACCATCTCCAGCAGGAAATTTTCGAAACAAACAAGCAACTTCGGCAAATGTTGGTGATACTGCCAACAGGAATACCAATTATAATAACGGTAAGTACAAACCAAATTCCCAGGAATCTCTTGAAGAGAATCCATTCCTGCCAGTCACGGGACCAAGTTCTTCAAACGCAAAGACATCACCACCCATATTAAATGGTGGAAGGGACAGTAGACCAAACCATCAACAAATATCTCAATCACTGAAGACACCTGCAGTAGTCACAGAAGATGTTAGATCGGCGGCACCACCTGGTGTTCCGAAAAACGCGCCATCATTCGCCATCTACAGGACAACAGCAAAGACACCCATTAAACCTTCAGCCAATCCTCCACCAAGAGTACCTGATTTGCCAGCACGAACGAAATTGGATGAGATTGATGAATCAGAATATGATGTGACTTTGAATGATGCTTTACATCCAACACTGCATCCAACAAGAAGTGTTGCAACTGGAATTGTGGCTTTCCCACAACAGCCAACATTGCAGAGGGTCCAGGTGTTTAAGACTAAGATTGGAATATCATCACCATCATCTCCATTATCATCATCATCTTCACACCAAGGGGTTGAAGCTCTCAGTAATGAACCCTCATCTTCTTCAACAGGTGGCCGTGGGTATCTAGTTAGCTCTGCCTCCCAGACACACATAACAAGAGCACCTTATGCTTCATTGAGAGCTAATGTGAAGGATCCGAGGCTGGTGGTCATAGACCCTAACACAAGAGATGGACAAGTGGCTTACTTACAGCAGCAAGGTGACACAGTCCAGTATAACGCCCAACAGGCGAGGAGGAGAATACCTGTCACACAGTACGATGAAAAAGTGCCCTCTCATGATGACAACCCTCACAGGTATACTCAGGTACAACCACAATACCAAAGAGGTGTTGCCAACCATGAGAGTGTGCCTTTGTTGGTGGTAGATGACATTTTGTACAGTAATGAAAGACACAGGCAAAGTTGGAGTCAACAACAGGGAGGGGAACCGAATGTAGATTATATTACACATTACTGAAAAATAAAGGATTTAAAAAAGAAAACAGATCCATTAAAATTAAATATTTAGTGATCATACAAGGGACTTAATATTTCTCTTTAAGTAGACAATAACAGACCATCACAAATTTACTGAGCAGTCACTTGACTTGAATCTTTCATGTTACTGGTCTCTCCTCTAATTTCCATTAAATTACATTTTAACATGTTCAGTGTTGATTATGCACGTTACCATTTTAGAAGCCAGATTTTATGGTAGTATTTGTATGACAGCTGAGTTCATGACATAAAATTGCTGAGTGATTTGAAGTCCTATATATGCAATGGAAATGTGACTTGCGACTTACTAGTTAAATTCAATGTGAACTTTCACAGATGTGCATATGTGAGGCTGTGCACTCTCCCCTTACAAGCTGTGTCCTCATCTGATGAGTTATTATTAATCCAGATTTTTACCGTTTACCTCATTCAGACATATTTTAAATAAGCTCCAATAACTCATGCATAAATATTATAAGTTCCCCATAATTTAACCATTAAAGTGTAAATATATTTTATCACAGTTGTTGTCAGGAATGATATTCTGAATATCCCTTGCATGAAAATACTCGTATCAAACTCCAATGTGGAAACACCACATTCTGTAGGACATTCTTTATAATTAAGAAAGCACTTTTCTGTTATGCAATGTTTAGTATAAATATTGATGAATTACTGCTCAAGCTGTTCCATTGAATCATGCAGAATTGGTCAAAATTTTGTATTAATTCTTTGGCACATAAGTGTTCATAAAATTGAAGCAAATGATCAGAAATGCTCTCTCATTTCACTGTGTACCACCTTGTCTTAGCTACTGTGTGTGTGTGTGTGTTGTGTATGTTGTCAAAATAAATGCTTGGCTACAATGAAATATGCCCTGAAAGTAATATGTTATTCAACATATTTATTCATGCCAGTATGAATTTACTGATCATCCCTACACACATATGGCATGCTTTTACATATTGCTGTAATAGCCCGTTTCTTGTAATCTATTTGCTTAGAAAAATCAGGCTAAAATAGTGAAAGTCTTCCCCTCCTGTTATAATTAGACAACACTGGTTTTTGAAGCGGTTCTTTATGTTAGTAGTCATTAAAGTGTGGTCCATGATGCTTTCAGTAGCTCTTCAGCTGGTCCAAAATGCAAAAAACTACAAACAGGAAGTGATTAAGCATGGATCCATACCTCTAAATTTGAAACTTGATATACCTGTTACACAAAATTTACCACTGTTCTTTTCTACAAATTCAAGTTTCATAAAATATTTTTTAGAAAGTAATTTAAGAAAATATGGGTCAATAGTCTGTGCCCTGCTCACGTGGACGATGGAATGAAAATATATTACAACCACTGAAAGGCTGCTTGAAGCCACTATAAAGAAAATAAAGCACATCACATTATATTTTAAGTCCAGTGCTTCAGGCTCTACTTCTTTCTTTAACACAAAGAAACGGTAACAGATAACCAATAAAATTTACTCACTTTGGAAGAGGAAGGAATGAGTGTTCTGTTTTGCTAAATACTGCTACAGAATAAGTAATATATCAGTAGCTTGTGATTACAATATTCACAGTCCTGAACATGTACCATAAGCATGCTGTGTACTGAATATCACGCACACTATGACACCTGCAATTGAATATACAGAACAGAAGATCTGTACATTATGTCACTGGTCACAGACTACAGTAAGGGTTTCATTTACAAAGAGTTCACTTTAGAAACATTCATTTATTCTGGAGCAAAGTTGTACACTGCTGTACTGTAACATGAGTCCAATGTCACAGCTGTATAACATTGCTCTAGGTTCACTACAGTGCTAGTAACAATTTAAAATAAAAGAACTCTGCATAAAACATAATAAATATATGTATATAGTATATATTTCCAACAGCATGCATAAAAATTGAAATAACATTTTAATACAGGCCTATAGGAAAATTAACCAAGCACCTCAGTTTCAACAAAATCTATTTAAAATCATGTGTGATATATCTTCTTCTTCTTCTTAAGGATCGACAGCTTCGTTCCTTGAACGCTTTGGCCTGTTCAACAATTTCCTTCCAACTGCTTCTGTCCTGTGTGCAAGTTATCCAGTTATAAATTCCTAAACCCTTTAGGTCTTCCCTTATGTCATCTTTCCAGCTAATCTTAGGTCGGCCTCTCTTTCTTATGGAGTGTGGCTGCCAGTCATATATTCTTTTAACTGTTCATCCAGCCTCCATCCTTGAGATGTGTCCAAACCAACTTATTCTTTGGGCTTTGATGAAGTTAACTATGATGTGTGATATATACTTCTAAAGAACCCCATAAGCCTCATAATTCCCTCAGCTGAGCACACCCAGCAAGTTAAATAACAGGCAGCACATTCTCATAAAAATATTTTGAAAATAGCCATCTAGTACTATAGTCCTATAGCCATCTCCAATCCCTTGTCATAACAGGAATTTCAAGAAGCACTATTTGATGACCATAGCTATTTGTGGATGGCTGCTGAGACTCACACAATTACAATGAATTACCCATAAACCCTTTCACTAGCCCCCAAACCTTTTTAATACTGACTCAATTTTAATGAGGAACATGTCATATAAGTACAGTAATTGCATATTCTATTTGGTTAGTATTACAAAATAATTACCACATATTCTCCACAATCAGGCCAACATCATGCGGTATAAGGTGCTATGCCTGACATTTTATTTTCTGTTGGATATTAGTATTTGATTTACATATATTTTGAAGCTGAATTTTGTTCAATTCTTTACATACAATTTCACAGAAGAGAAACAAGGTCTCAGACACTTGATGAATAACAGCAAAGATACATCTCATCGATTTCCATGAAATATAACTGAAAATTGTGGGCAATACAGTTTGTAAACTTACATAATGCAGGGGACATTTTAATTTAAAATACTCATTATGAGATTAGATACTTCATAGAGTTTGGAAGTACTGCATATTTACTTCTCAGTTAAACATTTAATCTCATATTATTCTTGTTATTTAAAAATAATTGCCCTCAAGTCTGTATATGTTTTGTAAGAACTTGCGAATATTACAAATTTTCTACAGAGAAAGGAAACCTTACACATACTCATATCATCATCATCAGTAATCTGTCAAGACGACAGGTCCACAGTCTCTTTCAAAACAATTCCTCCACTTAATGCGATCTAGAGCTTTCTCCTTCAAATGACAGTATCCTCTTCTGTCCCCAAGGTCATCCAGCATCTTCTTACGTCTTCTTCCTCGTCTTCTTGTCACTTCTATCCGCCCATCTATCTTTCCTTCGATAGCTTCTTTTAGAAGGCAGTTTCTGCGTAAAACATGACCAATCCAATTAGCCTTCCGTTTTCTTATTTCATGTAGGATATTCCTCTGCTCCCTGACTCTAATTAACACTCATATACATTAATACTCATATATGTAAGGAAATTCATTAAAAGAAGAAATGATTCAGAATTTGGCTAGTTGTGGGCCATATTCAATTCATATGTTCAGAAAATAAATACCATGTTGGGTTTCAATTAGTGAGTAAACTCTCATAAACAGTACAAAAATGTTCTGAAATACAAAGTCATGAATATTTTGACACTCTCTGTGACATAGTTTCTTATACATAATATATTTAGTCTGTTGTTGTGTCCTCTTATATTTAATTTCATAAATGTTACAAGGTTTCTCACAGTTTGTTAAAGGATAATTTGTTCTTTCATTATTTGCATTATTGAGTCTACTTATATTGATATGGGAATTTGAATTCAGCCATTTTTTCCAATTCATTTCTGCAGCATGAAGTATTTCACATTGAAAGTTAATGTATGTTTCAAAGTTATAATTAGAATGCAATGTGATTTTATACAGTATTCCATTAGCATAAACTTCTGCACTTCTTCTATCTGCTAACCATCTTGCATATAAATGAGCATTAACTCGTAAAACATCTCTCATTCTTCTGTGGTAATGTGATGATGCTCCATCCTGCTGAAATAACACTTCTTCATTGCCATTCATGTTAGAATATGACAAATGTTGGTCCTGTAGGAAGTACCAATCACAATTTCTTCAGTGAAAAATGGTTCCACAATTCTTCTAGAAGACACATTCAGTTCAGTGTTATCCATGAAAAATTAACTGCTTCTTCTACTGTCACATGTGGCTTCTCTTTGGGCCGGTACACACAATTATACTGACTGATAATAAAGTCTGAAAATAGATTTAACGGACCAGAGAAATTCAAATAGATTAATTTTAATCACAAACACACAAGAATCACTTCCAAAATCATGTTAATTTGCAGCATGTGTATTGACGATTACAATAAAAATCGGTTTTATACACAACAATTTTACAGACTTTATACAGGATTGTATGAGAACCTGTAATATTTTCTGATCACTTTCACCATAAACTGATTTGTGAGAGCCTCCACAATATTCTCTGTGCACATCTTACATGTTTCTATCTGCCTTGACCTTATTAGTTTCAAATCCATTTCTCTAATGTCTATGTATCTCTTTCACATTCTCAGTTTTCCAGTAGCATCCAGAATGCTCAAGCATCAAAGCCCGCCCTTTGAATCACAATCTTTTGGAATGTGACACTTGTGACATTTCATATGTTAGTAGACAGCATCAATGTCTCAGAAAGAACACTCTGCTTTAATCTTCCGGAAGATTCCTCCTAAACATTGGTACCTATCTATCAGTCCACATGATGACACATTGCAGAATACCATTACCTCAACACTCACTGCTATAAAAGCCTCAAGTTTCACAAATAAGGTGCTACACATCTAGGTGTAACAATGCAAAACAGAACACTAATGCCATCTAGTTACATAAATACACATCATTGTTAAATATCACTTCATTTATGAGTGTCCAATGGGTGTATACATTTTTAGGAATAATCTGTATCTAATTCGACAATTATGTGAGGTCACTTTTTGTTACTAGAGATGAAGAATGTCTGTAAATACTTGTAAATACAAGCCCAGAAATATTAGTTTTCAGTTCACTCAACAATATCAGCACATACTACAATGTAATCTTACAACTTCTTGCAAATCGTTGAGCCATTTAGGCAGAAGAGACCTATGCACCTCCTGCTTAGTTAGGCCATGAAGATTTGGACAGCTGGAGGAATCGACAAGACTATAGCCTAACGAAGTGTATATAAACTTTACCAAAATTACAGCAGATGCTGGAAATGTTCTCTGTTGTTGAAATCACAGCCAGGCTTAAACATTCTTATGATGAAAACAACAAATATCCTTACTAGCATCTGCTATAATTTTGGCATTTGTCTATTCTGTATAAGTCAGAATCTCCACAGACCAGTTAGATGGGAGGAGTGTCAGGATCTGACACCAGAATGGCTCAACGATTTTCAGGAAGTTCCAAGAAATTCAGGAAGATCATGCTGTTTTGTGGATTCTGTCATAAGAATTTCAAACTAGAAACAAAAACCCATTTCAGACCAAATTGTGAATTTGCTGAAATAAGATCCTAACAATAGTCATCTAGTTATAAGCTATCAGAAATAATGCCAGTTGCTGACAGTTTATGATATGTGCAGGAAAAATATAGTTCATTCAAAGAAAAGGCCTTATGTTGTGACTTAAGAATTATTTGGACAATAACAGGAAGACTCAGAGGGACAATTCTAAAAATTAAAATATCAGGTTCAAGTAAATTATTATTTCATACCGAAGAAATTCATAGTCCTGGAAATATACATTACTGGGCTTCAAACAAAGTTTTACAAAAATAAAAACAAACAATCATACCTTATAGGCAAAGGCTGTTTAACATGAAATACATTAAGTGGTGTGAATTCTGTTTGCTGATTAAATTTATAATTTTAAATATACTTTAATAAATGTCTGCATCCTTGTGCATCTTGTATCCCAAATGGTTAACCCGGTTATCTCATCCTTATGTAAAAGAAGAAGAAAAAGAAGATACCTGACGGCCTACTTTAAGTGTGTGTGTCTCAAAATAATCAATAATCTCTGGTGGTATCCTTACAATGACCAAACAGGAACAATGAATAAATTACACATGGTACAATGTGGAAAAATATTAATAAGAAAACTGGACAATACAGCCAAAGTTGCAGTCTCACACATAAGGACCTAGGCAGTACCATAGGTTTTTATTTTCTATAGAAAATAAATAAAAATGAAAATAATCGTGTAAGCCCAGAATTTACTTGGAAAGGTTCAACGTGTGAATGAAATGTTAGTTTCTAGGCATGTGCTTCTTCCACGCTGGGACAATAGGCCAGAAATGGTCACAGCACAAAGGATTTAGTCCCACACCACTAACAATGAAAAAAAATTAATTATGGTGCAGTTGGACAGACATGCACAACTCGTCATTACGTGTTGGAAGGAAGTAATTCTATTCGGCAGATTCTGTTTAAGAACTCAAAAGTCGTACAATTTATCAAGAAATTTCTCATCCCTCATCTCACTAGCAATAAAAAAAATAGTGCAAAACACTAGAACAGTTGTAAGATTTGAGGTTTTCACGGCGGTGACTATGAAGAAAGCAGTCTTCTGGGATGTGGCACNAACTGGAGAAAGCAGCAGTTTTAGCCTTTTGCGAAGATTCTGATGAAGCATTCGAGGCAGTTGCTAATAAGGTCTCAAGAGTGTCTCTAAAAGCAGGTACACTGGGAAAACAGCCGAGTATGGTTTACGTAATTGCTTGGTTAATTACGGGAAGAATAAGTCGGCATTCATGAAGTTGAAGAACTCATTCAATTTTAATACGCATATTACGCGATGCTGCCAGACATGAAGTAAAATTGTCATTGTTTGATGTTGAAATGCTTGTAATTAAAGTGTTCAATGAATTCTCAAAGCAACTTGAATTGAAATATTTCTAGAAACTGAGTATTCTGTTCTTCTTTGTCACGTTCTTACTCGCTTCCCAACTTCTTTGTTGCTGTTGACAGATTACATAAATTTGGACACAGTTATATTATTTTTTGTGCGAAGGTGAAGGAAAGTGAGCCGAACGGTATGGACATTTCTTGCTTATGGAAATGACTTTGACGTGGCTGATGAACTAACTCAACTAAAACTATACTTGAACTTTGTTCACAGTGCCATAAGCCTGCTTAATGTAAGCATTAAACAAGCAATAAATAAATACAAATGGATCACTGAAATGTACAGTATTTGTTAAGTTGCGAAAAGAATTTTTCAACGGACAGATAATTTTTTATGGATTCCAGGTATTACAGCATTTGAAGAAAGTTTCTCCACAAAAACAAAAAAGACTTTCATTCTGGATTCTTGGTGACTGTATACTCGAATTTTAGACGATCTTCATAGATGATTTGATTTCAGAGAAGATTTTTTCTATAAACTCTGTGCCTCATGAATTCCCAGGGGACCCTTCGATATGAATGCTCAATTTGCTCAATTTGTTGAATGTGGAAGTGGATGGCGACCAGTTATTTTCGGAGATTTGTGATTTGAATGAAGTTTTGTCATTTATTAACGGAGAACGTGAACTAAATGTTTCAGGACCAAGCCCTTCTGAGAAAAAAGAAACTGATCAAGACCACAATATTTATAATATTACAGTTAATTTTTTAAGCGATGCAAATCACATTCTTTGCCCAAAATTTTTTGACATCAACTAGCTATACCACTATGAAATGCTTTTGCAGGGCAAGTGGCTAGTATTATGCAAAACATTGAGAACAATGAAATATGGTCTGAAATTTGAAATGGTAAATAACTTCCAGAGCATTTAAACTGAAACATGAAATGTGCTGAATTTTCAAAGTTCATGAAATCTGAGAGTGGGAAATAAACTGTCAAAGTTGCTATGACAGAGAAATACAAATTCAAAATGTGTTGTCGGTGAGGCATGGTAGCGGTCAGCAGCCTGCTCTTTAAGGTACACATTCTTTACTTCTAGCCTTGTCATTTATGTTTATAAATTGTTATATTTTAACATGACATTACATCGTTGTGTTCTATGAATTAAACCTTTCATTCTTAATGAAGTCTCACTAGAGCTCATGTGCACAGTGTTATTGCGGAAATGGTTCTCAGTTTAAACCAAAACGAAAGCTCTATTAATGGCTTTTAATTAAAATCACTACAGTAATTTGAAATGCTCGAAAAATAGTAACGAATGTGTCCAGTGCTTTCCAAATTGGGGAGAAAAAATCGTTCTGGTTTCGAAGTCAGGAAAGCTACCGTAAATATAATACTTAAGGGGGTAGAATGGAAATGTCCGGTTTCGGCTTAGATAAAAGTTGGCAATTCCATCCGTATATAGGACACGTTTGCAATATGACCTAAGATCCTACTGCCGCCCGCTTGGCTTGTGCTGCGACTGATGATACCTACTTTTTGACACATAGGAAAAAGACGGGACAGATCTTATTAAAAATGCCTCAGACACATCATTAGAATCTTTAAATTAATTTTTACAATACCTGCCCAAAATGTCATCCAACTGTACTCAATATCCGAAGTCAGGAAATCGCACACATCCTTACACTCATGCTCTGCGGTCTTTTGAACTGCACTATACTAGTACCGACATCCCCTGCACCATCCCTAACCTGAGATATTGCACTAATCTTATCTTAATTTCTATCGTCACTACTCTCTAAACCAACGTTTGCAATAATTATTTCAGTTATGTCCTCCACAAGTCTATTCCTGAGCAAATAGCATATTAGATTGTTACAGTAGTACACAGAGATCACCATGATTATCACATGACATAACCCCTTCAAACCATTAGACACCTCAACAAACGTATATAGATTTCAACTCATTCCGAAAATTAGAGAGGATATGTCACTTTATAGTTGTTAATATTTAAAGAACAATCACACGCAAACCGCCACACTTAAAAGAGATTTATACCTCCGCCATTGCTCCTGACAATGCTACCAACCCGAAAATTGCCACGCACTATAAAGTTGCTAGCTGCTACTACGTACGACTGACATAATATTGTTATACAAGAATGGTACATTATTATGTCGTCAACGATTGTTACTACTGCATGATATTACGGATCAAGAAAGCACAAAAATTTGAAATTAATTTGTTCTTTCATGAGTACCAACAAATATAATCTGGTATTTTTTTCTCATATATGGTACTCCGTGTTCACTGCACTACTTGAAACTCTTACAGGATTTAAGATCGTTCAAGATGTATTCATATTGCCCTTACATTGGTGGACATGTTACCTTTCCTTGTTTGTTTTCTCCTGGATCAAACTGGAAGTCGTGCTTTAAAATAACTGAGAACCACAATGCAGCAACAAGAAACAGAAGACAAATCTGTTGTCACCACTTTTGCATTGCTGTGACAATTACAGATATGTGTATTAAAGTTTCCTATAAGACTGTCACCTTCTGAAGGGTAACATGACATGACAACATGATACAATAGGGTAGATAGAACGTGGAAGGTGGTGCCTATGTGGCATACACAGGGAACCTCTATAGAACATTACAAGGAAGGACAAACCCCATTGTTCAGTCAGCTGTTGATGAAAGAAGAGCAGTAATTTGTGTTTCTTACTAACACCTATCACATTGTTCACAGAACAGAATGAAGACCTTCATGCAGAACAGCTTTTCTGATGAAACTGGGTGAAAGTGAGCTAGCTGTTTTAGATCAGTCTACCTACAAGGGTACCATGGCCATCATGAAAGCAAAAGCTTTCACACATTTTAGGGAAGAAGTTTTACATTGACACTGTATGTTTACAACATTAGAAGGGTGCTGACAATAATGTAGAATGGTTGGATCTACACCTAGAGAAACAGCGGAAAGTGTCTTGTGCCTCCTGATCATAACTGTTCTTAACTAAACCTAGATAGCTGCTATATCTCTGGTCATGTGATAGTAACCACCTGGTCCACTAATAAGGGGCCTACATTAACACTTCTGAAGACTTGAGGAATCATGTGAAGAGATTACCAGAGTTCTTGATTAAAAACTAACATTCTGTACAATATATAGCAGCTTTCATATTCCAAAATCATTGTCAACACAATGGTTGGGATCCAGTAGTATAGGTAATGAAGGTTTGGAACCTGTGGAATCATGCGAGACTCCACTCTAAGGTCCACCAGGTACCTTCCTTGCATTTCTGTAGTCTTCTAGTTCTGACATCACATAATTAGAGGAAGTCATTTCTCAATTTAGTCTGTAACAGCAATGACGAGGAAAGAAATAATGAAGGTTGAGATATATTGGAATTGTTTTCTTTTAGTTGTGTACCCCTTTAACAGAATGTCTCTAATGTTCTTCACTTTGCTTATGTAAACATCATTTTGCAGTCCATCAGGAATGTAATCTCAGTATATATATATATATATCACAATTTCTGTGTATATTAGAATGGATTTACAAACTGATTTATTGAGTTCAGGTGTTTCTGACAACATCTGTTCATAGGCAACAATTGTTGCATGGGCACAGAAATTGTTTTCCCAATACATATTATCCTCAGCAACTTCCTGTTTCAACTGGCATTATATCAATATCACAATATTAATTAATTATTAATCACAAATCAGGTGAAATGTGAAAAAAGAGAAAGAACATTCTGTGTAAGTGCCATGTTAGTATTAAATGAAGAAATAATATCACAGGAAAGCATTTTGCGAAATTGTTCGCTTTCTTATCAACATTCATATGGTAGGCATCATCAATACAGATAAACAGAGCAGCTGTCGTTGTGGCCATTTTCTTTCAATTCATAGATCAGCTTACTCACCATAGATTGAAACCTGTCTTCCAATAAATCAACCCCTCAAATGTTATAAAAACACGTTTGTTATTACCTTGTTTATGTATCTCATTGGCCTTGATGTTCATTATTGCATATACAAAGATGCAGTTGCAAAACTAACCAGATCACACCAAACACACTGCTTTTTATTACACATAATGTTCAGAATCCTATAGTAACTGCTTATAATGTTCAGTGTTATCAATAATTTGTTAAATACGGCACCGACTGAATGACTAAGGAATCTGGGTTTGATCCTGGCACGGGCAAGGGATTTCTCTTTTCACTGCAATGCCCAAACTCATTATTAGCCACAACCAGCCACTCATTCATGGTACTGTACCCATTCCAAGGGATAAAGAAGCCATGATGTGAAACTGATCACTCATATCCATCTACAGTAAAAGTTAAAAATGAGCAGAATTATACCTCCATTCATTTCCCAATATGTCTACATGCTGTGGTCTTTATTAAACAAAGGAATGGCTTTAACGTATTTACATGCACATATGGGCAGAGCCAGGGTTTCTTGNATATTTGTGTATTTTTATATGGCCCCCAAATGTAACAAATTCAGTTTAAGACTTTCATGAGGCATTTTATGATATTTTCAATAAACTGAATAAATAAATACTTATATTGCATGTCTCTCTATATAATAAATCATTACAATGCTTCATGAGATTATGGTAATATACCTCACCAACAGACAGAACAGCACATGTTGGTTGCCAGAAGTACTGAGTCTGCCAGTGAGTGGATCTGCTAAGAATAGTCTGTCATCAACTGTCATCATTTTCATGAAACACTTTTATTTAGAAGTTCTCAAAACTTGTATTTTTAACTTCTTCTATACTAAATCTTATGACTGGACAGTGAGTAAGCGAAATTGAGACCCTAGCATCTATACATCTCCATACCTGTATTCAGTGTACATTGTAGAAACAATAATCAACAATGAAACAGTGATCTGTACAAACATAATGATAAATATTAAATAATACTCAGGTACTAGTACCATAAAATATAGTGTAAAAAGGTAATTTAAATTAAATTGCCTGAAAGTGTCAAAATGCATAAATGTAAATGGCAAAGGCAAAAATTTTTAAGATGGACCATTACTGACATCTGTTTTAAATTAAGATCGATCTTATCCTGTTTCCTTTGGGAAGACATGTTACAAGTGCCAGGGAATATATTCAGAAATCCAACACATCACATAAGACTGTTCTGAACACAAATACCTTGTGAGATTTGAGGATTTCATAGCAATCTTCTGAGATGTGATGCCAGCTTCAAAGTAACCTGAGGATGGAGGAAACAGATTGCTCAAAAATTTTGGTACCTATCTATAAGACTACAAGCATCACATCCCAGAAGAAAGTAGTCTTTAGAGATACCTTGTCCATAGTAGTTACTGCTGAAAAATATAGTGTCCTTTTTAAAGCAGGCCAAAAGAGACTAATCCAACAGAAAATGAAAAAATAAACATTCCCTGGAATACTAAAAATGAACTGAAACATAATATAAAGAAGGCACCTGTCTGAGAATTCCAAGATATGTTAAATTTAAACCCACATAACAATTGGTTAAGGATTGCAATGGCAACATAATATAGCAATTATCATATATTACTGGAGACCAAATTCCTTGAGAATACTCATGAGGACCATAGTGTGGACATCTTCAAACACAGTTTTGATGTTTCCAGTATCTGTAGCAACTGTAAAGTGGAAATAGCACTGCCTATTCTCTGTATCTGCAAGCATCACCGTAAGTCCTGGCATAATGCTAAACTTGCGATCATCTGCACTTATCCGCTTCTTTGTTACATCCTGGAGATAAAATCAGTTAAAAAGATCTCATTAATAAATAATTATTCAAAGTATTTAGTATACTTAAATGTATATTATTAGATCCTAAACTAATATGAGCTCCTCAGTCTTGATTGTGATTTTCCTAATGACATACTACAATGCAAAATTAAAGATTGGTGCAAAGATATTGCACACTCAACTCTCTCATATACAATTGTCCTTAACTATTTAACCTTGAAAACAAAATTGATTGTTACTTGGTAGACCATTATTGGTTAACGAATACAAACAATGAAATCCATCAAACTGGTAATGCTGGTTTAAAAAAAATCAGCACTTTGCTTGTGGGTCCCTAGTGCACATACCATTATTTTCCTCCATTTATGCAGCTTTATTTAGGGAGATAATGCACATAAACTACTGAAATGTAATCAAAATTGTTAAAATCATTTTCAAGAAAATCACCATTTTGGAGCTTGGGCTAAAAAATGAAAACATAAAAGTATATCTTACCTACTTATAATTAACTAATAAAATAAAATAATTTCAGTAAATATTTATAAGGACAAAAAGTATTGTAGACAAAAATTATAGAGAAAGATGGATGCAAATAATAGATGCATCTTATGGTGTCAACATAATTAAACAAATGAGAGTAGACATGCCAGAATTCTTAAACTAGGCTACAGTTCATAACTCATCCTTCATTCATCATTATGATGTCATTCTGGCCTAACCTACTTACATAGAAAAGATCCCGAATGAAGCACCGTGTCTTTATATACTCATCACAGCTTCTTCCATCTTCAAATACAAAAACATACACTTAAAAAATTATTACTCACAAGGCATATGAATTTCAAAGTACAAAAACAATTGCAACGCAAACAGTTAGAAAATTAGGGCAGAAATAATTAATGACTGATGACTGACATGTCAATTTATATAACTTTAAAGGATCATACCAGTACCATGCTATTACTTTTCACATATAGAAATACACTGTTTCATAACAAACATTTACTTTCTTATCATATAAATTAAGAAAAGAAGCACCACTGTGTAAAATATTTCCATGCAGTTTAGTATCTCTACTGTAACCATGACTATTATTGCAGACATTGTTAATCTTTTGAGCTTCCTCAAGCCACAGTCTTCTTTAAACTGATTCTGCCTACATTATAAGGTGTAAGGGAAGATGCTTTCTGCTCCACTGGGGCCACTACAGAAAGCTAGTCTCAATCAGTCTAGTGAAAAAACCCAACAGAGCAACTGAGACTTGCTGTCTCTATTAGGCCCAAACTATGAAGAAACTCAGAAGGATTATGACTAGCTTTCCCTAATATGCCCAAAATGTGGGAGGGCAAAACTCACTGGAGTGACTAAGACTAGCTCTCTCAAATTGGTCAAAAGGTGGAGGAACCTCTCTCCTTCACACACGATGCAAACAGAACCAGTTTCAAAATTGCTGTGGATTGAAAAACTCGAGGATGAACGTCCAAAGTAATAGTCCTAGTTATGGTCACACACCATCATCAGAAATCTTTAGCCACAGCATCTCTGCTGTTGATCCCTCTGTTAACAATAGTGTTATATCTACACTAATGGAACACAAAGACTAATAAATTCCAATTCTGAAATTTTTGTAGTCCAAACTGGAGTATACCTTTGAGAACAGTTTTTAGCTATACTCACCAGTACTGCTCATTTCATATGTGATATACTCTGGGAAGTAGGTAGCAATGCTCTTGCCACTCTCAACTTTTTCCTTGAGCATATCCTGCTTGTTTAGAAAAACGATCATACCAGTGTCATGTAAGAACCTGATAAAAGATCAGATATCATTAATTCATTTCAAATGGAATGAAAACCAAGATTCAAACTCACATCTGCTGTTGACTAAATAGGCACTCTACAAACTCAGCATGAAATTTTATTCATGCAAAATTTCATGACATTGTTTCAACTTAGATTATTTTGAACATGGTGATAAACCTTCAGGTTCAGTAACAGATGAGGGAGGGATTACTTGACTACCTCAATGTCTACTACCTTCTCAGTAAGCATCTGCTCTTTGTAGTTTGTCATTTTAACTACAGGAGTTGTATAGCATCAAATATGATGAGTATGTGAAAATGAATGGTGTGAATGAAAGTATGAAAGAAGGCAGTCATGGTCTATTTCATGGTAAAATCCCAAAATCTGCTTATAGATTTTGAAGAATATCATGAGGAAACACCTGATTTTCAAACCTTCCAATGTACGAGGGGAAGTCAATAATTATCTGCAATGCAGTTGTATTTGTGTTTCTGTTGGCAGCACTGTCATTTTGCGCAACACTGGCATGCGTGGTTTCCTTGTCATTATTTCTGCGCAGGTTTGATGTTGCTAGGTCAGTTCCATCATCACTGCCTTGCCGTTAATCATGGCTGCTCCGCTTTCTGTTTGCACCAAAGAAGAGCAACGTTCAGTGATCCGGTTTTTGTGGTCGGAAGGTGTATCAGGGGCCGCAATCCATCAAAGACTTTCAGCACAATACAGGAACAGTGTTTTGCCGCAATGGAGTGTCTACGAATTGATTGAAAATTTCAGAAATGCTCGCACAAGTGTTACACATGAGGAAGGAGCCAGATGACCATCCACGGCCACATATGAGGACAACATTGAGAGTGCACGTGACATGGTTCTGTTAGACAGACAAGTGACTATTGATGAAGTGGCAAATCGTCTGCAAATTAGTCATGGTTCTGCCTATGAAATCATCCACAACAGACTTCGGTTTCATAAAGTCTGTACAAGATGGGTCCCAAAACAACTCACAGTGTTGCATAAACAAATGCGCTTGGACATCTGCCAACAAACATTTGGATCACTATGGTAACGAACGTGACGTCTTCTTAGACAGAATCATCAAGGGTGACGAAACATGGATCCATCACTGCGAGCCAGAGAGTAAACAGCATAGTATGGAATGGAAACATCCACAATCGCCCAGCAAGAAAAAGTTCAAAAGCCAACCATCTGCAGGAAAACTGATGCTTACAGTTTTTTAGGACTCATAAGGCCCAGTACTGGAACATTATCAGGAGAGGGGCACAACAATAAACAGTGCTCGTTCAGTGAGATGCTTACTGACAGGCTAAAGCCTGCAATTCGAAGCAAACGCCAAGGACTACTGTCGAAAGGTGTTGTTGCACGACAATGCCTGTCCACATACTGCTGCCCACACTGCTGAAACCCTCTGGAAACTCAAGTTTGATGTAATGGCTCATCCTCTATATAGTCCTGATCTCGCCCCTTCTGACTACCACTTGTTTGGTCAACTCAAAGAGGCATTAAGGGGCCGTCAATTCACCTCGGACCAAGAAGTGAAGGAAGCGGTGCATGCGTAGCTCGCTCCTCAGCCGAAAACCTTCTTTTCTGAGGGCATCAGGAAGCTTGTGCAACGATGGATCAAGTGCGTTGAAAAGCAAGAGGACTATGTTGAAAAATGATGTTATTGTAAGTTTTCTATTTGTATTGAAATAAAATTTATAGCTACATTGCAGATAATTATTGACTTACCTAGGTAAGCGTAAACCTTTAACACAACAATATCATCCTTGGTTTCAGTAGGGATGGGCAAAAAATAATATATACTACGATACTCTTGAACAGGGGCACACGGTAACATAGTTGGTTGAGGCATTATGCTACAAGCCAGAAGGTTGCAGGTTCGGATCTCAATGAGGTCGTTGGATTTTCCAATTGACCTAATCCTTCCGGCCGCATTATGGCCCTGAGTTTGACTCAGCCTCTAACAGAAAAGAGTACCAGGAATCTTTCTGCAGGTTTAAGGGCGTCCGACACATAAGGCTGACAACCTCACCGCCATCTGTGAGCCAACTATCTAGAATATGTGGGAGCTTCAACATCTCTCAACCCCATGGGCCTTCATGACCTGTTACAAGGATAGCTTTACCTTATTTACCTTTCGTGAAAATCTTGAACGCTCCTGAATGACAGAACACTAGGGAAAACCTACAAATGAGTGGAAACCATATGAATGGCTATCAACTGAATTGGAGATGTACATTTCATGACAACTTTCATTCATTTATAACCAACATTTGTACATGATCTATCCTAGTAAGGTATTTTCATGTATTCTCTAAACGTAACCTCTCAGAAAAGCATAGCACAGTAAGTTAAAGTGTTTAAATTAAAAATTATTATTATTTAGAAACATATAGACAAGTTTCAAATCTCCCCACACAAAATGATTTTCATTCATTACTGCCATTAAAATAACAGGAGATGTTTTGTGTGGATTCACAATTACTATTGCCTATTTTAGGCACAAATAACTTCATCCATGATATGTATACAGTGGCCATCTTGTAGTGCACTCAATTTCACCTGTTACTTCATGACATGTTTCAGCAGCATAGTGCCATCATCAGGTGCCCTAATTACACTAATCTATTGCATTGCTTGCCCTCATATGTCTTCACAACACCATTTAAAAAATAGTTAAAAAGTGCGTATTTGTCAACTATAATAAATTTACACTCACTAAAACTTGTTAAGATTATTCATCTTATGTGTCTTAATTAAAACTTGCGTGTGGTTCATTCACTATGGGGTCGTTTTTCTTATTTTCTGTGTAAACCGTGTCTTGTGATGTGTGTTCCCTTACAACACTCGCAGCTAAGAAGGGAACACACATCACAAGACATGGTTTACACTGAATATAAGAAAAACGACCCCATAGTGGAAGAACCACACGCCAGTTTTAATTAAGACACATAAGATGAATAATCTTAACAAGTTTTAGTGTGTGAAAATTTATTATAGTTGACAAATACGCACTTTTTAACTATTTTTTAAATGGTGTTGTGAAGACATATGAGGGCAAGCAATGCAATAGATTAGTGTAATTAGGGCACCTGATGATGGCACTATGCTGCTGAAACATGTCATGAAGTAACAGGTGAAATTGAGTGCACTACAAGATGGCCACTGTATACATATCATGGATGAAGTTATTTGTGCCTAAAATAGGCAATAGTAATTGTGAATCCACACAAAACATCTCCTGTTATTTTAATGGCAGTAATGAATGAAAATCATTTTGTGTGGGGAGATTTGAAACTTGTCTATATGTTTCTAAATAATAATAATTTTTAATTTAAACACTTTAACTTACTGTGCTATGCTTTTCTGAGAGGTTACATTAAGAGAATACATGAAAATACCTTACTAGGATAGATCATGTACAAATGTTGGTTATAAATGAATGAAAGTTGTCATGAAATGTACATCTCCAATTCAGTTGATAGCCATTCATATGGTTTCCACTCATTTGTAGGTTTTCCCTAGTGTT